GTTTGCCAGGCCGGACCTCTTGACGGAGAAGTCGCCGTGGATGCCCTTTGAGTTGACGAGGACCGTCTTGTTGGTGTCCTTCATGTCGAAGTAGACGTTGCAGCTGTAGTGGTTGAGCGTGCACTCCTCGCACTCGAAGATGACGTCGGGGATCAGCCAGAACGTCTCGTTGTTGACGACCTTGTAGAGGAGGTAGGAGTTGACCGTGAGCTTCTTGCAGTCCATGTGGCGGTTGTTGCTCTCCTGGCACGAGCGCTTCTTGTCGAGCGCAACGGCGTGATCGACCAGCATCAGGTACTTGAGGGCCGTCAGCTCGACATTGTCGCGCGAGTCGCCCTTGGTCGCTTTGATTTGCAGGTACCTCTTCGCACGTCGCACCGCGTCGACGTTCTTGTACAGGTCGATGAAGGTCTGGATGCGAGGCGCCATGGTGGGATTGCAGGTTGATTGGCTACAGAGTGTGGGCGATGTTGCTACACAGAGTTGTCTGCGTGATTGCAGGCAACACGATGTGGAGGCGGCGGCGGTCGATGTGGAATCCGAGATGACAGCCGAACAGGACGATGGCGCGATGGCGAGGGCGATCCGGCAAGCCAGGCGGCGAGGCAAGATGGTGGCGAGGTAAAGCGGTCCGTGGAAGGGGGCAGGAGAAGAGGCAGAAAGGCAAACAGCCGGTCAGCGAGATGTGCGCAGCGAGGTTTGAAGAGGCAGACAATCCAGAGCATACTCACAAGGGCAGAGGAGAGGGTCGAGATGTTGATGGTGGTGGGAGGGAAGGAGGAGGAACGCTCGAGAGGTCCTCCTTTATACCTTTTGGCCGGGCAGGTAGAAGCCAGGGCGGTCGGGTTGGCGGGCAGATGGTCAATGGCGGTGGCGTGCACGCGGCCAATGGCGAAGGGATGCGGAGCGGGGCGGAGAAGTGGCAAAAGAACGAGGTAGAAAGGCGGCGGAAGCGTCAGCGTCAAGCACAGCAGACAGCAAGCCGTAGAAGCCGCAGCGGAGCGGAAGACTCACCCTGAGCGGAAGAGCGCGGAAGCAAGAGCTCCCCGTCGATGGAAGCCTCGAATCATCGGAATCCTTGGAGAGCGAGTCCCAGGAGATTTCCGATGATTCACGGCTCCTATTGACGGGAGCGGAGGCGGCAGGCGGACCTGAGAGCGGCGGAGGGCTGATGGCGGCAGCGAGGCGACGGGACTGAGCTCTCGGATCCGATGCCGAGGCCGACCATGCCGACGATGCCGGCGATGGCGCTACTCACATTGTAGGCCTTTGATCAGGTGGCATGCAGATTGATGCTACGAGCGGAGATGCTGTCGACGTCTATGCAAGATAACCGGCAAAAGATTACGGCAAGCAATGATCAGCCCTGGCACGAGGCGCAATGGTCAAGGCGTGAAGGCAGCCGCACTCACAGATGGTCGTTGTCTGCCCGGTGAAGCGGTCAAGGCCTGCTGGAGAGAGGTCAGTAGCAGAAGGAAAGGGCATCGGCGGCAAATCGGCGGTGGTGTTGCAGGGCAGCGCCACGGTCCCTCTTTACGTCGGGCGCCACCGTCGCACCGCAACGCCGCCGATGCCCTGAGGCTCTGGCATCACGAGGCCAGAGCCCTCGCCATCATGTGGACCGGTGTGCAGGGCAACCGGTGCCCGCTCCCATCAACCCGCCACCGCTCCGAAGACGACGGCGGCCCGGCTGCCATCAGGCGGAAGAGAAGCCACGACGGGTGGGCAGCGAGTCGGCATCACAAGGCCGAGCTCGCCCAAGCCCTACTCACCTTGATGCTGCTCAAACCCATTCCACCAAGCCATCCGTGAGCAGCCTTCCGGCACCGTGGGCGTGGGTCCAGCCGTCCTGAAGCGCAGCGAGGTGGTTGTCCAAAGTCGATCTTGAAGTCACCCGCGGGCGGTGCGTGGCCTGGAGGCGTCCCAAAAACGTCCTCGTTCAGCCCGGCGGCATCACTGCGCCGGGGCTGCTGCTGACACCGCGGCGCTTGACCTAGCCGGCGGCTTCGATGGTGGTGGCGGCGGCGAGGCGGGATGGCGGAAAGGTGAGGCGTGGCGGTCCGAGCTGGTGGTGGTAGTGGGAAGGAGCGATCGGCCTTGCTTGCAGCCGCGCGTCTTGAGCAGCTCTGCTGGCCCGTGCCTTTGCAGAAATTTTCACTCCCTTGTCGCTCGCCTGCCGCTTGCCAGCGAGGGAGGGGTGGGCAAGCCCGCCTGCCCTCTCCTCCCTACTACCACCACCACCACCAGCGCCACCATCGCCGCCAACTTGTACGGACTCGCCTCAACGCCTTCGCTCGATGGACTCCCTCTCTCCCTCCAATTACCACCTGCCACTTTGGCTTGCGGGTAGCTCTCTTCCTCGACGACGCTGGCCGAGGTAGGCCCCGCCTCGATCGCCTTCACCTCTCAACGTCCCGCCAGCCGCCCGCAGCAGTGCCATCCTTCAACGCGGCCATGGTCAGCGAGGCACAGGTAAGCCTTACGATGACGTCCGCTGCTCAAAGGTAGACCGCTGACGTCTTCCTCCGCCTCCCCTTTGCTCTCTGCTCGTCCACATCAGCTCGAACCCTGGCGCCACCACCGCTCCTCGACCGCTCGCATCCAGTCCTGCGCGCTCGCCTCGCGCCAGCATCGACTCGCCCATCACATCCGCCGATTTTGTCGACTTGACCGGATCGACCGCCACCCCTGCTGCCGCCGCTTCCGCTCCTGCCGTCGCTGTTGTCGGCTGTCGCTCGTCTAGTCGGGCCGGGTATCTCAGGCGCGAGTTGTACCGGTCTTTATGCTCAGAAGGCCCTCGCGTTTTGAGCAGCGTGGTTGCGCACCCCGGTCCAATAGGCAGCGGCAGTCGGTGGCACAACGGCCATCAGCAAGAGCGCGGTCAGCGGGCTCGGCATAGGTCTCGAAGGACAAGATCAACATGATCCATCCCGTGAGTCGCCCCTCTTTCTGTCGCTCTCCTCAGTGCAGGTCGATACTGACCTTGTCCTCTCTCTGTTTCTTTGCGCTACAGAACCGCCCAATACATCCGCACTGGGACGCTTTGGAACGCCGCCGAGTCATCCGCCGTCGCTGCCAAGGTAGGTCGAGCGCGTCGCTTCTGTCGCCGTTGTCGGCCCGACCTCAACTCGCTTGTCCCAGGTATCGCGGTTGCGCGGGAACAACGGCATCCAAGGTGTCGCCTGTTGCGCTGTCGGCGGATGGGTGTCCAGCCTGGGATTGAGTAGAGACGAGGCCGGCGTCGATGCGATGCTCAGGACGGCGCGCGACTGACGGCAGCGTTGACCTTGACTCGCCTCGCCACTCTTCCGCCTCCGCCCAACAGGATGCCGGAACAAAAGCGTCGCAAGGTCATCTGCACCTGCGTCCGGTGTGGCGGCAAGGCGGTTCATCCGCAGACGCAGCGCAACCATCAGCTGACCTGCGTCCAACCCGTCGATGCCAAGGTGAGCTGCTCTGCACGGTTAGCCATGGCGTCTGTTTCCCCAACTGACTGATTGTCCTCGTCTGACTTTGCCCTGCAAACGCAACAGGAGTTGATCAGAAGCATGCGAGGAGCAACGGGCGGCCTCGATCGGCTGGGCGAGCAAGCCGAACAGCAGCCCGCACCGCGACCACCGCTGCCAGCTCGTGCGCCACCATTGCCACCGCCATCGCAGCCCTTGCCACAGCCCCAGGACCGCGCCGTGTTGCCGATGGTCGTATACAGCAGCCACCGGAGCTGCCCGAAGACCAAGGCGACGGCAACAGTCAGATCACGTCGGTCGGGACCGAGCAGGTCTCCATCGCCAGCTCGCCGACACCTGCCTCGCCACCGCAGCACCTACGCCCACAGCCACGCCCACACCAACGCCACCGCCATCGCCCTTAGGCTTCACCGCAAGCCAGGCCTTCACGCTCGCCATCAGCGACTCGGACAGCCAAGGGCAAGGCCAACTGGGCTCGGCCCTCTCCAAGCTCGACCCCGGCCGCATCCTGGCCGACGAGGTGATGGCGCGCACCTCCGACCCAGCACAGTTGCTTGATCCTGAGCTGCCCAACTGCATCAAGGCCTTCCTCTGGCATGTTGTTCGGCAGCGGTCCCACTATAGCGCCTCGGAGGCTGGGTGCGAGGCGATGCTGCGCTTCGGTCGCAACAATCTCTTGCTGGCGCTCGGGAGCACAGCCAAGATCCCCGTCCGCTACCCGACTCTGCGCAAGCACCTCGGGCTCGACCGCGACCATATCGTCGCCTACCCGGTCTGCCCGAAGTCGACCTGCTCGAGCCTGTCGCCGCCGTTGCCCGAGCAGCCATCCTTGCCATCAGCAAGCGCTCCGCCAACAGCAAGCGGTCCGCCAACACCACCGCCCGCGCCTACCTGCATGCGCTGCTCCAAGGGGCTCCCCCTGGACAGGCCCGTGTTCGTCTACCTGCCGCTCGAGGCATGGCTACGCGGCCTGGTCCAACAACCCGATGTGCGCGAGACGCTCGGCGGGTGGCGAGCCCGAGGGACTCCATCCCCGCCCTTCGCCGACACCACCACGCCTCTGGCTGATGTCTACGACGGCGAGCTGTGGGACCAAGAGCGACACTTCCTCGACTCCGGCAACGACGGTGACATCAACCTCCTCCTCTCCCTGTTGGTCGACTGGTTCCAGCCGTTCAACTTCACGGCGGAATCCTACTCATGCGGGCCCATCATCCTCTCGGTCCTCAACCTACCGTCGTCGCTGCGCTTCAAGCCGGAGTATCAGCATCTCGCTGGCATTGTGCCTGGACCGAGTGAGCCATCGTGGTCGACATTCTCAAGCTTCATTGAGCCCCTCGTTGCCGAGCTTCTGCGCCTGCAGGACAGCGTCCAGATCGAGCTCCAGGCTTCGTCGTTGCCCACAGAGTCCTCCGTGGACCCCGTCCGTCCCACCCCATCCACCGGCACCACTGCCTCCACCGCCGTGCTCCGGGCCAAGCTGGTCCTCTTCGTCGGCGACTCGCCGGCCCGCACCAAGGTCTGCGGCTTCAACCCGCTGTCGGTCAAGGTGGCAACGTGCCCGTACTGCAAAGCCGGGAAAGGGGACTTCCAGCAGGTGGCGCTCGGCACTGCTCGGCCTGAGGATCGCGACCCGGACGAGCATCAGCAAGACTCGCTCGCCGCTCGGGGCAGCAGCGACGCGGCACAGCGCGAGGCGGCGCTCTCCACTGGCGCCAGGTACTCGGCGCTGTACGAGCTGCCATACTGGCAGAGTGTCACCATGGCCCCCGTGGATGCGATGCATGCTGTCTACCTCGGCCTAGTCAAGCGCATCTGGCACCAGCTGCTCGTCAAGCGCGGCCTCCTCTCCAACCGCGACATTACCGCTGTGCAAGCTCGCATCAAGGCCGCCACCGTGCCGTCAACGCTTGCCAAGCTCTCAATCCGCGTCTGGCGGCTCGCCCACCGCAGCGCAGTTCGCCACGCTGGCAATGCTGCTTCCAGCTCTCCTCTGTGAGCCGTGGCAGGCCGCCATCGCCCACTTCCTTGCGCATCGCCGGCAGATCCGCAACGACATGAGCGACGCCGCCTGGATCCACAAGGACAACGACGACGCCGAGCATTGGACATGGTTGGCCCACTCGGAGCAAGCCGGGAACAAGGCCGCCGAGTCGCAGGTCACCTCGCACGAGGCCCGCTTCGTGCATCGAGGCTGGCTGTTCCGCGACGTGATCGTGCGGCTCGCCATCGTCGTCAACTACCTGCACCAGCGGGTGCTGACACACGCCAACATCGAGTTTGTTGCTCGACAGCTGCGCCATCTCCACTGCTGCCTCGCCCACATCTCGCCCATTGTCTACAACGGGCACATCCTCTCGCACATGGGGCCGCAGCTACGCCGATACGGTCTGCCCCGCGCCTTCTGGGCGTTCAACACCGAAAAGGCCAACCAGGTGCTGTCGCGGTCAACACGGCCTAGCAACAAGAAGCACGGCCAAGTTGGGCGATCGCTTCACAAGGCATGGGGCAACCGCGGACGAGCAGAGCTGATCAAAGGGCCCTTGGAGGAGCGTCGGGAAGGAGTCGCGCTTGCCAGCCGCACTTGCGAGCGGCAGCGGACGTACGACGACACCATCCTTGCGCTTGAGGTGGCGCTGGGCTCAAAGATGACGTCGCCGTTGCCACCCGACCGCTACGCCGACCTCATCAACATGCTCCGCCGCACCTATCCAGCCCAAGACTTCATCCGAACGACGGTCAAGATCCAGTCGCGCGCTGTCGAGGTGAGGAACGCCGTGACCACCCACGCCAGCCTATCGATCAAGGGGCTCTACTTCCGCTCGTCGGCCGCCGACATCCTCTCCGCGCCAGGTGACTCGTTCGGCTTTGCTCGCTGGCCGACGGCAGATGATCTTGTGCCGATCCAGCTTGTGCAGATCTTCAGCCACCAGCACCGGCTACCAGCAACCCCCGCCTCCGCCGACCCCATCACCACCTACGGCGCCGTCGCGCGGATCTTCAGCAAGCGAGCAACGCCTTCCTGGCACTCGGCCGACGCAGTCAAGCCATCTGCGGCACCCACGCAGGTCAGGCTCGACGCCTTCAATACCGCCATCATCCCTATCGATGCACTGGTGGCCAACGCTGCTCTCGTCCCACTAGCCAACAGACAAGAGGCGGTCGTCAAGATGGTCATGTGATTGCGCACTGTGAGTACATTGCAAGCCGTCACGCTGCTCATTACTGCCGCTCGCCATTGCGCTGCCGTGGCTGCGGCTGCGGCTGCTGCGCTGCCGTTGTGTTGTTGCTGTCGCTCTCGCTGCGGCCGTTGCGCCGCTGTTGTGTTGCTGCTATCGCTGCAGCTGCTGCGCCACCGTTATGTTGTCGCTGTTGCTGTTGCTGCGGCTGTTGCGCCGCTTGCCATCATGCTGCTGTTGCTGCGGCTGTTGCGCCGCCATTGTGTCGTTGCCGTTGCTGCGGCTGCTGTGCGCTGGTGATCCCTTACTGACGCTTGCGTACCTCTTCCCACTTCTTGACCACCATGCCGCTGTCCTCTCCCCACTGGTTGCCCGTCCTACCCTCCGTCGGCCTGTTGCGCTGGACGTCCTTGCACGCCGCCTTGTGCTCGTCGTCCTTGTCCTTCCATGTGCCCGACACCATCCAACTGTCGCGCGCGCGGCTGACCCTCGGCTCCGAGAGTCGGCCTGCATGCCTTTTTAGGCGCGCGGCCTCCCCGCGACTCCTTCCCTCTGCTCCTCATTCATCGTCTCATCCCCTTCCCACAGCACACCAACGCTGGGCCTTCGACGGCAGGACGAAGTCTGGGTCAAGGCTGAATGGGTCGAGCACCCAGTCTGGACGAACGATGGTGTGCCGAGGTGCGTTGGCTTTCTTGCTGCCTTTCTCACGCATCGCCGCCCTGCGGTCGCACTTGGCCATGAGCTCGAGGCGTTCCTTGCTGCCCCACTCCGGCGACAGCAGCGTTGTGCGCTTTGAGCCTGAGACCTGTCGCTGACCGTGTCCCGCTCCTTCTCCCTCGTCTCCTCCCTCGTCAGACGATACCTCAAGGCTGAGCAGCTTGACGTCCAAGGCATCGTTGCGGGGGTCCTTCTTGCCCTCGTAGTCCATCAGGGACTTGAGGGCGTCCATCCGGTTGGCCGCCAACACGACGCGCCTGCGGTAGCGCCTCTCCCACTGGACGCGCTCTCGCTCCTTGGCTGCCTTTGTCGGATCGGCCATCTGGCAGCCTCGGTTGCGATGGTTGCGGAGCGACCTCAAGCAGCCATTCTTGATCCTCTCGAGGCTCATGTCCTCCGGGACGCCGTAGTTGCCGCGGTTGTTGGCAATCTTGTTTGCGGCCCAGTCGGTAAGTCCCACCTCAAACTTGCTCTTGTACTCGTACGCGTTCCAGTTGATGCGCAGCGGCCTGTCGGCGAACGGCTCACTGATCCTCTTCTTGTCAATGGCCTTGAACAGTGCATGGTTGACGTTGTCGCTTGACGTGAAGACCTACGGCTTGCACAGGTCGGAGAACTCGGGGATGTTACCCTCGGGCACGGCCATGATCTCGCGCAACAACTGCGTGAACGCAAGCTGCGGCTTGCGGGGCAGCGGCAAGTCTTGCTTTCCACCCCCCTTGCCCCTGGCAAGGTTCGCAAGCTGGACGCGGGCGTCGGCGAGCTCCTCAAGCACACGGTCGACCTGCGCTGCGAGGTTGACGATCGCATCCATCTGCTTGTCCCCGGCTTCTTTGCGCTCCTGGACGCTCTTGGCAAGTCCGATTGCAAAGTTGAGCGTCTTGTGGCAGTCGTGCATGATGTGGTGCAGCATCTTGTACTTGGTCAGCGGCTGCTCTTCGACCTCGTCGTTGGTGAGCGGTGACCAGGTGCTGGGCTGCTTGCCCTGCTCCTCGAGACGAGCGGAGACGGCATGGGTGGCGCTGCCGCTGGCGCTGCCGCTGGCGCTGCCGCTGGCGCTGCCGCTGCCGCGGGGGCAACTGCCGGTCGCCTGCGACGACTCGGTGCTTCTGCTGGTACCCGCGGGCGCCCTTGAAGGCATCTGCGAACCGACGCAAACGACAGCGTCGTCGTCCTCATCGATCGGGCTGGTGGGAAGCAGCAGTTTGGTGGGGGGAGGAGCGGTGGCCACTTTGGCCTTGGAGCGTTTGGGCGCCGGTGAAGGCGACGGCGACCTGCTGCTGTTGCGACCCCGGCTGAGACAAGCTGAGGCCCTCGAGGCCTGCTTGGGCGCCATGATGAAGAAGTGCTGGCGACGGTGGTGTCAAGCAGGGCTGCTGGGCAGGGTGGAGGTGATGGTGGTTGGCTGGGAGGGCCTGGCCAGGCGGGCGACGCGCCTCCACATCTGCCACCCGGGGCGCGCCGCGCCAGGCCAGCCACACTCGCCCAGGCCACCCAATTGCCACCGAAGCAGGCTCCTCTTGATGTAGAGCATGCAGCATCTCCACCACCATGCCTGTGACCGTCAAATACCGTGAAACATGCCTTCAGAACGCCTGGGGGATGCAAAAGGGCACCCCTGGAATCGCACGAGGTGTGCGATTTCGGATCGCACAGGCACCTCCACTCGGATTTCGGATTGCAGCCGATCGCACGGCCAGTGCGCATCGGAAAAATCGCACATGTGCTCCGATGCCCGATTTCAGATCGCACTGCCTGTACGCTGCAAATCGGGCCCGACCCTGCTGCTAGCTATGAGGTGGCGGCGTGGCCTGACCTCCACATTTTTTTTTTGGCGTGCACAAAGCTTAGTCAGCCGCGCGCGCCAGCCAGCTGGCCCAACTGCCTGAGCCTGCCAGCCAGCCAGCTTGACTGCTCGCTGCGGAGCGGAAGCGGAGCGGCCGTCAATCATTGGAATCCTTGGAGAGAGCTCTCTAAGGATTCCGATGATTGACGCAATTGACTGTGCGGAGGTGGCAACGGCAAGGCAGGCAGGCACGCAGGCAGTATGGGTGGGTGGGCTACGATTTTGGATCGTAGCTAGATTGTAGGTAGGCCGCGCATCGGAAAATTGAAGACAGGGCTCGATGCCCGATTTCCGATCGTAGCCTGCCTACGATCCCAAGCCCGACCCTGCTGCTAGCTATGAGGTGGATGAGCACGGCTTGCTGGCATCTCAATCAACGCAGGCTGCTAAGGTAGTGTCACCCTGCGTTGGTATCAATGACAGCAGCGGCAAGTCCAAGGATGGCCGGAGATGGCCAGTCAGGCAGCAGTGAGGCAGCAGCGAGTCCGGGGAGGACCAGGCAAGCAGTGGCAAGGCAGCGGCAAGGCAGCGGTGAGGCAGCAGAGGACCAGGCAAGCAGTGGCAAGGCAGCGGAGGACCAGGCAAGCAGCGGCAAGGCAGCGTCGAGTCCAAGGATGGCCAGAGATGGCCAGGCAACCAGCAACATCCTGCAAGGGCTATTCAGGCTCGCTACGCAAGTCTGAGGGGGCAGGCCAAGCGCAGCTGACCAAGAACAGCGCTTGCTCTGTAACAGAAGGAGGCAAAGGCAGTCTGTCAGAGCAGGTGCGTAGCAAGAAGAGTTGTCGCTCAAATAGCTAGCAGCAAAAGTGATTCCCGATTTTTCCTATCGCACAAGCTGTGCAATCCAGGATTTGAAAGTCATTATACATGTGCAATCTAAAATCTTGGCCACTATGAGTGGATTTCAGATCGCAGGCAGGAAAAACTCAGGATCTCAGATCAAAGCTGATTGCACACCTGGTGCGCTTCTGAGAAATCGCACAAGCTGGCTGCAGCTGGATTTTTAAATTGTTCTACACGTGCAATTTTTTTTTACCAGATCCTGCTGCTAGCTATGAGTGCTAGTGCTCACAAAAGAGGTGTTGCTTGCAGTGCCAAGACGTACAAGCAACTCGAGTAGATTGTTGTGCTTGGGCTGGGCCGGTTGAAAAGCGCACGCAACGGTGATGGTGGTGGTAGGGAGGGAAGGGGGAAAATTCGAAATCCAAAATTCAACTCTTGAGCACCCCCCTCCCTTAATCCTGGACGACGCTGATCCAGCTGGCCCCTCAAGAACCCCTAATTCCAACTGAAATCCAGCAGCTGGCAGTCCCTGGCAGCTCAGCGGCGCGATTTGCCTGGATTTTGCCTTGCAGCTGTAGGTAGGCATAGGCTGTGTACGATTTTCAGATTGTAGGGGACCCTTCTACACAAAAGATTTATGCATCCAGACAAGCTGTGCGGATTTCAGGTCGTATACTGCCTACAATTTTCAGATTGTAGCTAGAGTAGCCCTACCTACGATTTTTGCATTGTAGCCAGGCTACGACCAAAGTGCATGCTACAATCTATTGATCACGTACACAAGCTTTGATTGCAAAATACGCTATCTACGCTACTGCAAAC